ATGTATCGTTTTCCCAAAAGATTCCCCTGTCACTCACTCCCATCTCCTCAGTTGGCCGCATCCTTTATCTCCTCAGCATCTCACAGGGGCTTTCTGAAGCCTCCTTTGTGGATGCTGCCATCTGGATCCGGGAAAGGCATCTCTCTCCCTCCCTCTGACTGCCTGTGGGCCACGATGTGTGCTTTGTTCCAGCTGCACCGCTGTGGGTCCTCTTCCCGGACCTCTGTGGCCTCCTTCGCTTGAGGTCACCTCGGCCTGGGTTCTCTGTCCCTCAGGCAAACTGTCTTAACAGCTTCCCATCCACCTGCCGGACAGGACGCTCTGCATTCTAGCAATTCGCCACTTGCCTCTGCAGGCCTGAGCAGGGAGGGGAGGGAAAGCTCATTCTCCTGCGGAGGCCTGCACACAGGGACTTTTCACACAGGGAGTGCGGATGAACGTTAAGCGCTGCAGGCACAGCGTTCAGAATCACCTCCTAAGAGCTTAGACGGAGGAGCCGGCTTAGCAGCTGGAAACTAGGTTCCTGGATAGAGCTGAACCCGAATCCTGGATCTAAGACTCTTAGCCATGACTCCAGACAGTCTGAGCTTCACCAACCATGGGGTCCTTCCACCAGATTGAGCAAGGGGAGTCAGTATCTTCTCTTGTCCAAATACTTTCTCCAGCCTCAAACGGTCACCACTCCCAGAGGTTGGGGTAGGATATGCCGAGTGGCCCTTGGGAAACGCCCACCAACGTTTTTTTGGATCAGGGAAGGACTATTCGTCCTCCTTCTGATGTGGGGCGCCCCTGCAGTCCCTTTTTCTCTCAACAGTAGCATCCGGGCTTTTTGGATCTCACCCTGAGGCGACCTTGGTGAGACACCTCGCTGCGAACAGGGTAGAAAGGACAAGAAGTAAACTTGCCTGCAGCCTTCTGCCTTCGTCTCTCCCCGCAGGGGGGGTCGGTCATCACCCGCAAATTCGGCTACGGGAGAACTAGGCTACTAAATGCACCTTGGGGAGGAGCGCAGCCCGGGCCTGTCTTGGAGCGTCCTCTGGTGGCTGAATGGGAACCTGCAGTTTGTCCTTTGTTTTGATCTCTCGCCCCGCCCGCTCCCACCTTCATGAGTTACCTAGCTGAGGTCTTGGTTCTGTTCTTGCCCTCTCGATTTTCCCAGCCGTCGTAGGCACCCAGCCCTGTCTTAACTCAGACATCTTTCAGTTTCTTTACCCTACCCTGCAACGAATCTTCCACATCTTTCCACAAGAAATTGACCACTACGCTTCCAGCTTTATCCTCTAACTTGGTTCCCCCAACCCCCTGGAACAAATTTAACTTCTTTGGCACTTTCAAACTCTGCAGTAACAGCCCCTCTCTTGACCCCAGTTTGTTTGTTTGTTTCCTTCTTTCCTTCCTTCCTTCTTTCTTTCTTTTGAGATGAGTTTCTTTGTGTAGCCCTGGCTGTCCTGGTTTTGTAGACCAGGCTGGCCTTGAACTCAGAGATCCGCCTGCCTCTGCCTTCCAAGTGCTGGGATTAAAGGCTGTGCCACCTCTGCCAGGGTCTTGGGCAACACTGGTGGCCTTGGGAGGACCTGACTTTGCAAACTCCATTTTAAAGAAGAGACTTCATCTTAAGCCATATAATGAGCTGGGGTGAGGGTGGGCGATTTCAGCTCCACAAATGTGCTACCATAGCAGAAATTTGAACAGATACCCTAAAAATGGCCAATTCAGAGCAGGGCCATAAAATTTAACAACAGATGTTCCTAGGAGGCATCTTATCCTTGAAGATACCTTGTCAGTTATAAATGGCTCTGTTGGGGTTTCGTGCCCAAAAACTGACCAGTGAGTTCAGAAACTACCTTATCCTATCCTTCCTCAGTCCCAAGATGACAGGACATGGACTCCCCTGATAACGGTGTTTCCCCTTTAAAAGTTCTACCCTCCCAAGGCTCCCTGCCACACTTTCCACATCCACCATGCTGGGGTGCTGGTCCAAACTTGAGTTTTCATATTATTAGAAACCCTCTGAATTCATTCGGGAACCAGTAACTTGGGCATCACAGCCTCAGTCCATTATCACTGACATTTGCCCAGTTGGAATTTTAGCATGTTGAGGCTTCTACTTCTTCATCTAGAAAACCCTTATTCATACTCCACGGTTCTGTCCACTCTGGGAAATTGCTCTCTTAGAGTTGGTCTGTCCTGAGAGGGGCTCCGAGTTAGCGCCTTCCTGCTCTGTCAATATGTCTGTCTGAGTGTTCTTCAAGAGTGAGAGCTGAATGATTCTCACTGAGCCTTGACAGGGTCGACACTGGCGGCTGGAATAGGCCAGGAGAGGCTCTTCCCCAGTCTGCGGTAGGGATCTGAACTTTCCCTGGGGTGGTGACCCCAGAACCCCATCATAAAGTGATAGTGAGTCACATGAAGTGGGGTGGACACTCCTGGGAGCATCCCTGACTCTCAGAATTGTCACGTTAACTGGGTGGGGGCGGGGACAAGGGAGAGGTGTGAGGTGGGCCAGGGGAACTTGGCTTTGGCCTGAGAGTAACTAGGAGTTAACAGGCAATAGACACATTTCCAGTAGGGAAGATCCCTCTGGCAGCTGGCAGAGCACCCAGTCCCCTGGCTTGGGCTATTTGGGAATTTTTGGAGTCTTTTTGTTTTCAAGCTGAGGATGATCTTGAATTTCTAATCCTCCTGCCTCCACCTCAGAACTGCTGGGACCACAGGTGTGCACAATCATACTATTTATACACTGGGAGTGGAAGCCATGGCTACAAGTGAGCTGGGAAAAACGCTCTTCCAACAGTGCTGCAAACATGGCCTTTGCTAGGTCTTTCTGATGATCATGAGACGGGGTTGCTCTGGCAGCTAGCCGGTCTTGGATTCAGGGTGATGTATTTATAGGACAGCAAACAGCTCACAGAACTGACCCCCAGACCACGTGATTTGAGAATTTTCCTAGGGCCTTTTGTATGGAGTTCTATTTAAAATAGTAATTTAGAACATTATCTTATGTTTATGAGAGGTTTTCCTGCATCTCTGTCTATCCACCGTGTGTGCCTGGTACCTGGGGAGACCAGGGGAGGTCGTTGGATACTCTAGAACTGGATTTCTAAACCAATTATTGTGAGCTGCCATGTGAGTGCTGGGAGTTGAACCCAGGTCCTCTGGAAGAGCAGTGCTCTTAACTGCTGAGCCCTCCCTCCAGCCCTGGAGTGCTATTTTTGATGGACAGTGACCAGAGCCCCGAGTGACTTGCACAAGAATACATAGTATTTCCCATAGTTGTTACTACACAGAGAATGTGCTAGAATACAACCACACAAAGTGAAGGAAGATGGTGCCTGTCCCTTTGGAAGCATACTAGATTGTCAGAATTTAAGGAACTTATCTACCTGTTACAGAAACACTTAGGCATTTGAATTGGACTATCTCTTGACATTGGAAGCTGCCTGTCAAACTCCGGGACTCTATGGATAGGACCAAACTTATCCTTACTTTCTTAAGCTCCCCAGTGTAACCAACAATATATTCCCAATTTGAAATACATATGGCTTGAAGCTACTTTCCTCACTTTAATTTGGCTAGCACTTGTTTAGCTGTTTAAACACAGCTTCTGTAAGACAGTTCTGGCTTTATCCATTTTTTACTTGGAAGTTAATGGAGGTTTAGGGATGCCAAGTAACTCACCCAAGGTCACAGAACTGGAAAGTGACTAACCGGGCATTTGAATTAGTCCTATGAACCACTGATGTTTTGGTTCCCTGAGCACCTTGCCCTCTGTGGAAACACATGCTACAGGCTGACTTTGTCCACTGAGACCACTAGGTGTCGCTGCGGCACGGGGATGGTGGGGGGCTCTGACTGGGCGAACCCGTGCCTCTCAGAAGGCTGACTCACCTTCACAATCCACCCCCATGCCCCAGACCTGCGATTTAACACTCCACGTGCTGTCCAGATCCCTGGAGTGAAACACAGCTGCCTGGTAGTCTCATGAGACCGGGCTGTTACCCTCATCTTACAGATGACAGAATGTTTAGAGGAAATAACCCCAGGTCATGGGGGGGGGGGGGTCAGGTTGGATCTGTTTAGCTGTATGACTTCCCCAGGATTGGCGGGAGGAGCCCCAGGTCAAGGGATACCCACTCCGGTCCCTTCCTGAGCTCTGGGAGCGCTCTGATACAGGGTGACTGCGGGTACTGACACCCTGGAATGCTCACTGTCCCGCCCGCCACTTCCCCAAGGACAGCCCAGAGATTCAGTCCTCGCTTTGCCAGATACAGCAGAGTCCAGGGCTGAATCCATCTTCAGTCAGAAGGAGAAGGCCCCACCAGGGCAGCAGCCATGGAAAAGGGGCAGCTGTGTCATCTGGCAGGGTTTAATTTGGGAACTCCTGGCTCCACCCAGTGTAACATGTGACTGTAAGGTTAGACAAAGAGAAGGACTTTCCAAGAAGAGGGGTGGAGGTAGCAGCAGATCTGCGACCTAGCGGAAAGGCCCTCCTCGGGTCGCAGGGAAATTTCTCAAGTTGCAAACACCAGAGACACAGATCAAGGACAAATGGGGAGACAGAGAAGACTCCGTTTGGTGGGTGAGGGTGTGGGAAAGGAAAGGCAGAAGGGAGGCAGGGGAGCTCATATATACCCAGGGCCAAGGCCTACTCAGAATTTTAAGGACAGGAGCTCTGTGACAGCAACAGGGACGGGAGCCCAGGAGAGAGGAGGGGAGGAGCTGCTAGCCCAGGTGTGGAAAGGGCGGAAGCTGCGAGGTGGCTGAGCGCTTGGAAGAAGTGGGAGCTGCCACGGGAATCCTGACCGGCCCCTCTAGGGGCTGGACTGCTTGGGAAGAGGCTGTGCACTGTGACCCAGGGTCAGGCCCAGGGCCTTGTCTGGAGCTGAGGCCTCCAATGAGGCCGGTGTCTGTGAGGGGATCAGACCCTCCTCGAGGATCCTGACCGGGGAGGAGCAGTGGGAGGCGGGGCGGAGGGGGAGGGCAGGAGGAGGGGTCGGGCCTCTGTCCACCGCGTCAGTGCTGGTTGGAGAGAGGAAGGGGCGCGGAGCTCGCCAAGCAGAGGGCTCCCACAGGCAAGCAGAGCCGGCTGCCATGGCGCTGGTGGAGTGTGTGATCTGGGGCTCCAGACGAGATGTCCACCTCCTCTTGCTGTTGTTGTTGCTGCTGCCGCCCTGGGTTCCGGCTGGTGAGTGTGGCTGGGCCTGAGAGACTGGTAGCCAAACTAGAGGGAATCGTGACCCAGGCCCCAGAACGCGTGGAGACCCTGAGGTTGAGGTGTTCTGGGACTCACATGGAGTCCTTGGAGCGTCCGGGCAACTTCATACTGAGGAGCCTATGTGCTGATGTGATCTGCAAAAGCCGGTCTGGGAGACCTGGTGTGGTCGGTGTGGTGTGGTTAGGTGAAGCTGAGGGAAAGCGCGTCGGGTTAGGTGGAGGGGAGAGAATCCAGACAATCACCATAGTCTGCTGGAGTCATGCTTTAAGTTGCCGGGCGGGTGGTTTTGGGGGTGAGGCGGCCTGTGTAGTTCTGTGTAGAGAGTGTGTCCTAGCTGAACTGGTTGGAAGTTGTCTCACATGTTCAACTGGCTTTTCCCGGCAACTGGAGGTGTGGGTAGGACGGGGGACTGGATTAGAATAGAGGAGGGGGAAGAAAACCAGGGTGTAGGGGGGTGCTTGCCCCCATCCCTCCCTTCTTTGGGTCCTCTGCCTGCATTTGAGGGGCAACCATTAGAGCTGTTCCGGGTCTCTGGGGTGACTAGGGATTTGGGACCATGTGTGTGTCCCCTGCAGCCTGTCTCTGGCATTCCTCAACTAGGCTGGAAGGGCTCCCTGAAGCCAGCCCGGGCAGCCAAAGCTCTTCGCCTTTGTCCAAGTGCATTCAGTGTTGAGCCTGGAATTCCTGCTTGGGGGGGGGGGGTGCTGGAGGACGCTTTGGTTTGGTTGCTATGGTTACGAGAGCAGCAGGGAGGGCCTAGGTTCTTCTCCAGCCAGTGAACCCCACCTGTGGCATTCCCTTTACCTGCCACTAAGACTTTATTGTCTTTTCCTCTGGGGCAGGAGGGAGAATGAGTATAGTGAGGACCCCATGTGTAGGAAGAAAACCAAATGATTATCAGAGAAGGAAGAGAGCAAAAGCTGGGTACCTGAGGCAAACGAGGATGGAGAAACAGGCAGCTCTAGGCTGTCTACACATGAAGGATTCTGGGCTGTGCGCTTCCCGTTTGTCCCACCTGTACTACAGGTACTCCTGACACAAAACAGGACAGGTGTCCACAGGCACATTCCAGGTCACCCTGTGAACACACCAGTGGTGTGCACACCAGCAGAGCACACTTACAGCTATGTGCTCGCACAGTGTGTTCATGCACGTGGACAGCGTATCCATGGTGCAGAAGGGAACACTGTGTCCTGTGTATTCCCCTGGACTTCTTCTGTGTTCAGAGCCTATCTCCAGGGATCCCTACAAACACCAGTACCAGGGCTGACTGAGGGTGTGGAGATGACTTGAAAGGTAATTTCTAACTCAGAGGACATGGAAGTTCCGGAGGCTCAGGACCAGAGCAGATGCCCACCCTTGCCAGGCCCTGAGCTGGGCCCCTCTGCAGCCGGTTGCTATGGAGAGGAGGAGGCATCTTGGAGTACAAAGGGACACGTTGGGTTGTTCCCACCCCCATCCCTTCCCTGAACACCCAGGGAGCACAGTGCACAAAGGGGCAGCCAGTCTTTCCCAAACCTGGCCTCTCCTCCAACTTCAGGGGTGGAGCTTACAGGAGAGAAGCAGGGATGCCACTCACTTCCAACCAAAGTGTATAGGGGAATGTGTGTGCTGGCTACTGGGTTCTTGCCTCCAGCAACGGTTTGCTGATGGGTGAGTCACACCACCCATATGTGGAGAGTTTAATGCTCCCAGCAGCCAGAGAAGCTGGTCCTCTATCCTCTGTTTACCGGGCAGGTAAATGAAGCCCAGAGAAGGTCAGCGACTTGTATAGGGTCAAGAGAGTAGCGTGTGTAGGGCCAGGATCACACAGGAGGTAGTACTTTAGATGACTGGTTACAGCTCTTTGTGCCTCCTTAGATGGGGCCCATTGTTCATTCCAAGGGTCATTTCCAGATTGGACCCACTGATGCTGTGGGTCTGTAATATAGGGGATGAAAGGACCCCCAATATCAAGGAGATTGTAATGGTATTACTTTAAAAATTAATTGTATTATTATTATTATTACTAGTTATTGTGTGTGTGTGTCTGTCCGTCTGTGCAGGCATGCATGCATGTGTGTGCGTGAATGTGCGTGTGTGTGCAGGTCAGAGGACAACTGTGGAGTTGGTTCTCTCTTCCATCATTACATGGCTTCTGAGGCTGACTTAGGCCCTCAGTCCTCCACAGCAAACACCTTACCTGGAGAAACATCTTGCTAGCCCTCAAGGGGATTTTAGATGGAAGCACATTTCTAGTTACTAGAAACTGTCCACAGTAGCCAGACGGCAGGTCTGAGCCAACCCTGCTTCTGTTCTCACTCAGAGCCTGAGATCAGCGACTAGCAACTTCAGTGTGTGGGCACTGCATCCAATCACCGCTACACACCATACCTTAGACTGTTAGTAAGTTATGCCTTTTGGCCTGGGGTGAACATCTCTGAAAAAGTGTAGCCAAGCTTCCCTGCCTTCCGGGGTATCTTTGCCTTTTCCTGATGAGTGGATATTGAGTGTCAATGACCCTGCTGCACTGCACTTGGGGCTCTGTGCTGGCATCAGAGGAGATGCCTCCCTGTAAGGTCAGGCTGTAGGTGGGCCTGGAGGACCTTTCTTTTCTTTTTCTTTTTTTTTTTTTTTTTTTTTTTTTTTTTTTTTTTTTTTTTTTTTTTTTTTTTTTGTTTTTCGAGACAGGGTTTCTCTGTGGTTTTGGAGCCTGTCCTGGAACTAGCTCTTGTAGACCAGGCTGGTCTCGAACTCACAGAGATCCGCCTGCCTCTGCCTCCAGAGTGCTGGGATTAAAGGCGTGCGTCACCACCCCCCAGCGGGCATTTTCTTAATTAATAGTTAATGGTTAATGATCCCAGCTCATGTGGGTGGGGTCATCCCTGGGCTGGTGGTCCCAGGGTCTACAAGAAAACAGATTGAACAAGCCATGAGGAACAAGCCAGTAAGTAGCACCTCTCCATGGCCTCTGTGTCAGCTCCTGACTCCAGGTTCCTGTCCTGTTAGAGTTCCTATCCTGATTTCTTTCAGTGAGGTGAAAAAGCCTTTTCCTCCCCAGCTTGCTTGGGTCAGAGTGATAGCAGCCCTGACTAGGACAGGCACAGAGAAAATAAGTGAACTCAGGAAGAGCAGGCGTTCCTAAACCAGTCTTAGGACGAGCATAATGGCATGCCAGCTGCTAGGCTCGGGTGCAACCCAGGGCTTTTGCATATGCAAAGCAAGTGCTGTACGGTGGAGCCTCACACCATTCCCCAGACCTCGAGGGACTCCTCTGGTGAGGGAAGGAGGGGCTGGGGACACAAGCTGCTGTAGACGCAGGGTTTAAGGCTCTTGATGATGGGAAACTCTCTTCTCAATAGTTCCTTTTTTTCTACCTAGAACCAAATATACCAGGATGGCAAAAGATGCCCGGCCCTAGAACACAGCACTCCCTCGGTGACAGCCTCGGTGACTACATATGTTCCCCTCATGCCCTCTTCAGCGTAGGGCAGGGCGCAGGTCGAAGGAGAGGGCCAGCATCCCGCGTCCGTGTCTGTTAATCTCTCCTCTGCCAGGTCAGCCCAGGCAGTCTGAGAGGTCAGGAGGGATTTATAAAGATAAGCACTGGCCCCTTGTTGCCCTAGCGACAGGCTCCGCCCCTCCAGCTAGGCCCTGGAGAGAGACCCTCCCCCTCCCCTGCTTACCCGACCCTCTGGGCTCATTGTGGGCCGGACGGGGCCACCCTGGTGTGCGATGATTCTGGAAGTGAGGAGTCTCTGGATTGTAAAAAAAGGCAGATAAAACTGTTGACACCACAGGCAGTGAATGAAGGTCCAGGCGGAGCTGGCTCTCGGCCTCTCCTGCCTCTGTTCCTCTAGAGATGGCTTTTCTAACTGTGGGGCTGGGCTCTGCCTTGCAGGGAGTTCTCAGAGTAGCAGCCCGCTGCGGGGCGCTGGGAGGATCCATAGAGGAACAAAACTCCTTGCCTTGGTGCTGTGGCCAGTAACAAAGAGAGCTCCGAGCTTGGGGTGCGAAGATGAGAGCCTGTGCCCTGATGAGATTACAGGAGCCGTAGGCATGGGCCCAGTGGCAGGCGCTTCCTAACTCTGGAGCCTTTTGGGCCAAGGGTCCCTGGATTGTCTCTCAAGGGGGGTTTACTGGGTGTCGGGGCTCCTCAAAACATGCTTTTCCCATTTCCCACTGCACCCACCTGACCGTATTCCCAGCACCCATCAAAGCGTTTTCTTACCCACACAGGACACCCTGGAACACCCGCATTGCCCTTCCCAGTCTCTACAGTCACAGAAGCAGCCGCTCCCCCACTGCCTGTAAGCTCTTAGAGTAGCCCAGGCTACCCCTTTCCCCAGCCCTCATGTTCAGGCCTGACAGGCCTGGGAATGGTGCCAGGGCAGGGATAGCCGTGAGCCGAGGGGCCCCTTAGCCAGAAAGTATCTCAGGCTCCAAAACCTGACCCCATGCCTGGCTCTGGTAGGTGGTAGGCCCCAATGTGGAAGGAAGAACCCTGGGCACTTGAGATGGCATCGCACAGCCGTGTCTCTCTGGGTCCACTGTCCCCACGGGTTGCTACCATCCTTCATCTTGGGCTGCCTAGGAGCAGCCCTGCGCCGTGGAATGTGGATGACGCCTGACAGACTGCCAACCTTATCTGGGGGAGGGGAATCTTCCTGGAGTGGGGGAGGGGAAGGTACAGGGCCTGATGCTGCTCACTGCTCAGGTCTGGTTAGTGTCTGTCTGACAGCCTGGGGGAGGGTAGGTCCTGGAACTCCAGGTGGGGGTAGTAGGGCTCCTGTCCCTCACATTAGTATCTGGCACCCAAGGCTTTGAATCCTCTGCCTTTACCCAAGGTCTCAGAGCTCATGGTTTTCTGAGCTGGGGTTTGGACCTGTCAGGGACAAGGCTTCCAGGCCGGGATGAAGTGAAGGAACAAGGCTCTCTGAACTTGGCTTCTAAGTCAGCACAGGGTGCTCCAAGTGTGTGGACCCTGGTCGGGTAGCCAATGGGTAGATCGAGGTCGTTATACCTGCCCTGTCTCAGGTGCTCTTGTCAGGGGATGAATGAGTGCTAGGGATCCCCTAGAAATCCCAGGCAAGGGGGCAGGAAGGTGGGACCAAGGTGGGTAGGAGTGAGGGAGGTTGAGCCAGGCCCTGCCTTTGAAGTCCATTCTTTCTCTGAGGCTGAGGTCAGACATCTCAGGTTTCAGTCAGGGATGGAGTTACCAGACCCCCAAAGGGGGTTTCGGCGGAGGGGAGGACGGGGGGGGGGGGATGGATAGAAGTTGTCCCCTCTTTTATCTCCTCCATCCCATGTCAGGATGCTGAGAGATCACAGGCCTGCAGAATGGACTGGCCAGGCAAGCTACTCCCTGGTGCACTGAGATCTGTTTCTTGTGAACTCACTGTGATGTCAGCAAGTCTTTACTTTCTTGAGCCTTTATTGCTTGTCCTACTGAACATAGGACAGTTCAAGCCTCCTAGGGGTACTTCAGGGGTGACCAGAAAACATCCTGGCTACTCTGTTATGCAATGCTATCAGATGGGAACCACCCACTCTGTCCTCTGTCTCTGCTCTCTAAACACAACTAAAACCTGCTTGGCCCTGGGGTGGAGCTCAGTCTGAAGAGTGGTTTTTTTTTTTTTTTTTTTTTTTTTTTTTTTTTTTTTGGTTTTTCGAGACAGGGTTTCTCTTCTGTGGCTTTGGAGCCTGTCCTGGAACTAGCTCTGTAGACCAGGCTGGCCTCGAACTCACAGAGATCCGCCTGCCTCTGCCTCCTGAGTGCTGGGATTAAAGGCGTGCGCCACCATCGCCCGGCTGAGTGGTTGCTTTTTACCAAGGAAGCCCTGGGCTTGATTCCCCAGCAGTCCAACCTAGAGTGCTGGTGTGTGCCTACAATCCCAGCGTTTGGGAGGTCGGAGGGAGGATGAGAAGTTTAAGGTTATCCTTGGAGACATAGCAAGTTCCAGCGAGACTGGACTACAGAAGAGTGTTTCTAAAAATAAACACAAAATAAGTAAATAAAACCTGTCACAGGTGTAGGCACTTGTGAGCAGCTTTAGGTGTGCACACAGGGTCTTAGACACTGACACACCTGTGTTACCTTTAGCTTTGTTGCTAACAGTGGGGAAGAATGTGTTATGCAGACCTTGCCCACATTGCCAAATTGTTTTCTTTTTCTACAGGGCTGGTTCCTTCAGAGATCCCAAGTGCCTGTGCCTCAGACCCATGTACTCCAGGGACCAAGTGCCAGGCTACAGAAAATGGTGGCTATACCTGTGAGCCTGTAGAGCTTGGAGGCTGTGCTACTCAGCCCTGCCACCATGGAGCACTGTGTGTGCCCCATGGCCCAGATCCTAACAGCTTCCGCTGCTACTGTGTGCCTGGCTTCCAGGGTCCCTACTGTGAACTGGACATCGATGAGTGTGCATCCCGGCCCTGCCACCACGGGGCCACCTGCCACAACCTGGCAGATCACTATGAGTGCCACTGCCCCCTGGGCTATGCAGGTAATGGGACCAGTCATCTTGGAGGGCTGGACCATAGTATGAGCATCCGTATTTGACTTTGACTTAAGTCTAGAGATGCCTCAGGCTGGCTAGTAGCTTTGGTACCCATTCTTGGGCTGACTGCTCAACTGATGTTTCTTGGGCTAATCTGGCAGACAGGTTTGGTGTGTGTATGTTTGGGTGTTGGTCAAGCTGCTCTGTATAACCTGTGGGGTTGTCCTGATGGACTCTGGTATGGCTTGGGATGTAATACAGACCTTTGTCCTCTAGGGATCCTTTTCTGTCTGTGATGGGGATGCTTCTAGCTGTCCTTGTTGCCCAGAGTAGAATAATGTAGACATGGCGCGCGCGCACACACACACACACACACACACACACACACACACACGACTTTCTCTTCCAGGAAACACTTACCCTAGTCCCTTCCTGCTCCCACTGCTGTTTTCTGGAGCTGCCTGACATCAGGAGGGAGGGGACAGCTGGGGATATGTCCTCAAAGGATGTTTACTTTAGCACAGTCTGGAGTCTGCAGTATAGACAGACACCGTGTTCAAACTGTGGGGCAGTCTGAAGTCCCCTCTGGACAAATGGTCTATATAGACTGGGGACCAAGTTCCAGGAAGGACAAAAAGGGATGAGATGGCACATTGAGTCCCTGCATCTTTCCCCTCTCAGTGTCTGTACATTTGTGCAGGTGAGACAGCAGATCCCAGCTATCTGCATGCACATGGGCCCTCTGAGCACCTGCTGGTACCATGTCTGTGCATGCTTCTGCGGGAATCTTGTGTGTGTCCGCAGGAACGTGAGCACTGCATGTGCAGGGTGTCAGTGAATGGGATGGGAGCAGGCAGTTTTGTGTGACTCATTTTTCTCTCTTTCTGCTCAGAGCAGTATGGGGGAGTTGGGATTCCAGGCAGCTTGGGCCTGGCTCTCCCTGGCACAGAGGGTGGGAGTGTGGCTGGAGGGTCATGGGAAGGAGGAGTCCTGAAGCTGACTGGGGAGTAGAGAGGGGTCAGCTGGAGGCAGCTGGCTCCTTAGCCCCCATGACAAAACCTACTTAGGAGGTGGAGGAAAGCCGTGGAAATCTATACTGACAGGACATGTCTCATAAACCCCACACCCGGAGCTCCCTTTGTCTCTACTCCTGTCCTGGGGAGGTTCCGCTTGTACTCAGGGTTCCCCAGAGGCCTGGGAATGTCTGAATAGAACCAGGGGCTTCCAGTTTTAAAGCCAAGGCAGGATAGGAGCTGGTGACCCTACTCCTATCTGGAGTGAGTGCCCATCTTTTTTTTTTGTCTCCCTTTCTTTCATCCCTCTCAAAGCCACAGGTGAGCTGCTCTGTTGGTTACCCAGCTCAGTGCTGTAGTTAAACTTGACAGGAAGCAACTACCGGAAGGAAGTACACTCTGGCTCTTGTTGGGATGCTGTCCACCATGGCGTAGAAGGCATGGCAGAAGCAGCATCTGGTCACACCATATCACTAGATGCTGGCGCTTAGCTTGCTTTCTCCGGTTTTTCTGTTTAAAAACAGAAAAATTTTATTCAGTCCAGGATCCCAGCCTTCCTTCCTCAGTTGAATCCTTCTGTAAACTCCTTACAGATACAGCCAGAGGTGTGTCTCCCAAGGGATTTCAAGTCTGGTCAAGGTGACCACAAAGTTCTACTGTTATTACCTCGACCAACAACTTACTTTTTTTAGATTTAATTTTTATTTATGTGCATGTGATAAGTGTGGGGTGCTAGAAGAGGGACTGGAGTGAGGGATGCTAGGAATACTAGCTGAGCATCCTCATGAACATCGGCTCAGGAGTGAGGGATGCTAGGAATACTAGCTGAGCATCCTCATGAACGTCGGGTCAGGCAGGCCTGCTCTGCCAGAGCAAGTGTATCTGCTTAATGTGGGCGCTGGGAACGGAACTCTGGTCCTCTGGAAGGGCAGGGAGCTCTCGAGGCTTGAAGTCTGACCAGTCTGAATGAGCAGGAGTCTGATGCTCGATGCTCTGTGCCTCTCACCTCCCTCCTCCACTCTCCCCAGGTTATGTCTGTTCTCCAACCTTCCCTGGGTATTGTGCCTCTGCCTCAAGAGGGATGTCACCAACTGTCATCTGCCTGCCCTATCTCAGTCTTCAAAAATCTGTTTCTGAAGAAGCCCCCACATCCGTCCTCACTCCCAGCACCTTAGAACAGACCCTGGCTCCTGTCCTCAAAGGATCCAGTTCTCTTGTTAAGGTCATCATTATTAAACACCGGCCCTTTCCGGGGCTACCCCGCTGTGAGGACACCAGGGCCAGAAGGGTCCTCATGTGTCCACCCAGCAGCACCTCTGAATGAGCGAGCCATCTGGGTAGCTGGAGCAGATTGGGACTGCTGGCTGGGCATCGCCCCTCTAGACGTGGTTTCCGTTTCTTCCGCTCCTGTTCAGGCGTGACCTGTGAGGCGGAGGTGGACGAGTGCTCATCAGCGCCCTGCCTGCACGGAGGCTCGTGCCTGGATGGCATGGGCTCCTACCGCTGCGTGTGCGCGCCGGGTTACGCAGGCTCTAGCTGCGAGCTGGACGTGGACGAGTGCCAGAGCCAGCCATGTGCGCACGGGGGCGTGTGCCACGACCTGGTCAATGGGTGAGCCCTCGGCAGGGTGACCTGGCTGCGGGGAGGTGGGCTGCGGGACGAACACGTGCTCAGCTCCCGCCTCGCCCACACCAGTTTCCGGTGCGACTGTGGAGACACGGGCTACGAAGGAGAGCGCTGCGAGCAGGAGGTGCTGGAGTGCTTCTCTGCGCCCTGCGCACACAACGCGTCCTGCTTAGATGGCCTCCGGAGCTTCCGCTGCCTCTGCTGGCCAGGTGTGTGCGCGCCTGCGCTCCTCCTCCCCCGTGAATATGTGTGTGTGTGTGTGTGTGTGTGTGTTGAGGAGGAGAGCTGCGGGTCAATATGGTAGGGCAGGTGTGGAAGCCGTGTGCGTGCATGTCAGAGTGCGGTCTGGGCCCTCTGAAACCTGCATGTGTAACCTATGTGCCTGAGTTCAGGTTCCTGATCTGCAAATAGGGCTGCTAACAGCACCTGCCCATTGGGTTGTAGAGAGGAGCGACAGTGGACCTAGCACACGAGAAGGGTGTCTGAGTGTATTCGTAGCAGTCAGTAGCCGGCCATCACTGCCCCTACTCTCCCTCTGTCAGCATCTGCATCCTGAGTTCGTGTGTCTGTGTCCCTGGTTGGCTTGGGTCATCGAGGGGAGCTGCCTGGACACTTCGTGTTTCCTGATGTTTCCATGTGCACCCCAGGCTTCAGCGGAGAGCTGTGCGAAGTGGATGAGGATGAGTGCGCTTCGAATCCTTGTCATAACGGGGGACGGTGCTTGCAGCGCTCGGACCCAGCCTTGTATGGGGGTGTCCAGGCCACCTTCCCAGGAGCCTTCAGCTTCAGTGACGCCGCTGGCTTCCTTTGCATCTGTCCTTTGGGCTTTGCCGGTGAGTTAACTCCTGGAGAAGCACTCAGCCAGGGTCCAGACCCCAAGGATGGATCCAGCCTGGCCCATGGCCTGGCCCTGCCAGGTGCCACCTTGCCTGAGTTCACGCCCCCCCCCCCAATCTACCCAGTTGGAAAACGGGCCCTTTTGGTTCTTGTCTGGCTCTGGGGTGCAGGCAGAAGCCACAGTTGATCCTTTTATAGGGGATGATTGCAGCGTGGATGTGGATGAATGCGCCGCAGGACCATGTCTCAATGGTGGCAGCTGCCAGGACCTGCCCAACGGTTTCCAGTGCCACTGCCTGGATGGATACACAGGTGCACAGGTGGGGCGGGCTTGTCATGGAGGTGAGGCTGGGTGATAAGGTCCCTTCTGGCTGAATGTGAATTGATACGTACAGGAAATGAGGCTGGAGTTGGTGGTATAGGTGACAGGTGGGGGTGTGCTGAACTGGGACCCCAAGTTTGTGAGTGGGAGGGAGACACTGGTCAGTTTTAGTATAGTCAGGAGGGAAGCGTGGAGTGGGTACATCTGGGCTGCCAGATTTTCTGCCCTGGAGAATGTTGGCTGATGCTTGGTTGGTGACTTCAGCCCTGTAGATACTGAATGTCTGAAGCCAGGGCTAGCCTGGGGGGATTAACCCAAGAGAGGGGCCTAGACTGGAGTCAGTATTGGGGTTCATGAACAGGTGTCTGGTGGCTGAGGCTGCAGGCCTTCTGGGAGAAACAGCAGAGTGATGATCAGGAAGCTGGGCCCTGAACCCTGCTATCAAATCAAACACGGACAAAGCCTCAACCAAAACAGAAGAGGCAGAACTGTGCAAGATGCGTGCCTTTCAAAGGACACGCTTTGCCTCTTGGGAGCTGTGCCTGCTGTCAGTGGCTGGAGTGTGAAAGCTCTCCTTGCAAATACAAGGCCACGCAGGAACCCACAGACTTCCTCTCTCTAACACCCCTGCCTCCACTGTACTACTCCCCCAAATGCCAGCATTCCGGCCTAACATACAACAGGCTCTCCTTTCCCTGAAGGCCCCTGTAGGCAAGGCTGGAGATACACTTCCTCCCTCCTATCTTGACCACTCAAAGATGTAGGAATTTGCCAGATTTAGTGGTGCTGGCCTTTAATCCCAGCACTGGGGGCGGGGCAGAGGCAGGCGGATCTCTGTAAATTCAAGGCCAGCCTGGTCTAAGGAGTGAATTCCCCGAATTCCATAGCTACACAGCGAATCCCTGTCTCCAAAAACCAAAACCAAACAAACAAACAAAAAAGATATTAGAGCTCGCTGCTCCCACTTGGGTGGCGTGTGCGCAGTCCACGTGAGCAGTCCACTGTACCTACTGACCCAGCCCCTCCCTCCACAGTCTCACAATGTAGGGCTTACCATCCCCTTCTCACAGATAAAGCATGGAAGGGGTGTCTATCCAGTGAGTTTGGGGGTCCTGGAGGAGAGACTTTAGCTGTGAGACAACAGAAGGCTTTGGTGGGGGGCCTGCCTGGCATGCCTGAGTTGTCTGAAGGAGACTGGTAAGCCAGGCTGGCAGCTCCACTCCAAAGCCTTGCTGCATGGGTCCTGGGGCCTCCCAAAGGGAGGGTTTCCAGCTGTGTGGTGAGCGTGAGGAGAGAGCTGTGGCTGCGAGGGCTGCCAGATCTGATGTCTGGGTCTCTCCAGCTGAGCTGTGGGGGTAAGGATGGCCTTGCCTTGTGCCGAGGAGGCTCTGGATGAACTGGGGTTGCACTTATCCCATCTGATCCTGAAGAAGAGGGGGTGGCACCTTCTCAGACAATGTAGGGACCCTTGGGAAGACCCTAGGGCAGAGAGACTGAGGAGTGAGCCCTGCGGAGGGTGTACCATCCACTGTGGCTGGTCTGCGTCTATAAAGGCTTATCCCAAACTGGGAACCAAGGACAGATTCAGGTTCCAGGGGGAAATAGCTGAGTGAACAGATATTCTCAACTCAGGGTTCTGGGGAGCTGAGTCAGAGAGATGGAATGGTGGACTAGTTTAGGTCAGGTGTGATGTGAGGGAACGTTCTGGGCCCTCTGCAGGATGCAGAAGAGTTTGAAAATAGTAAGGGAAGTTGAGGCAGGACTTTCCAGAAAATACTTAGAGTAATAGCAAGTTCAAGGATTTCAGGGGGCAAGGTTGAAGTGTGAGGCCTGGTAGGCCAAGCCTATGACAGTCTCGAATACCAACGTGAGTGGCTGGGTCATATGCAGCAGAGGAGTGTGACTCGGTGACACCTTGGAAAGAGGCCTCTGGTTACTGCGGAGACAGGTGGAGAGGAACTTCTAAAGGCAGCTAACCTGGAGGCTGCCAGATCAGCTCAAAGAGCTGGCAAGAAAAGAGGAACAGGGTGGAAGATGGGGCTACGGAGTGCTTAGAGAAACAGACCCATGGGGTGTGGAGACTTATCAGACATGGTCAGGAAAGGGGACCCTGGGGGACCTGGTTTATAGGTTCCAAGGTCAGCATCACTAAGATGCACGTGAGTTCTGGTTGGAGATTGTGGCTTTGGCCTGATGTACTGACTCTTGACTGATCCTTTAGGACTGATGTGTCAGGAAGATGTGGATGAATGCCAGTCGGAACCATGCCTGCATGGTGGAACCTGCAGCGACATTGTAGCAGGCTATATCTGCCAGTGCCCTGAGGCCTGGGGCGGACATGACTGTTCTATACAGCTCACAGGCTGCCAGGGCCACACTTGCCCACCTCTTGCTACCTGCATCCCCACCTTCAAGTCTGGGCTCCACAGTTACGTCTGCCACTGCCCACCTGGGACCTATGGGCCTTTCTGTGGCCTGAATACCACCTTCTCGATCATATCTGGGAGTTCTGTGTGGGCGTTAGTGCCAGCCAGTGACTCTCTGAGTCTGGTACTGAGGTTTCGAACTACGCTGCTTGCTGGGGCCCTGGCCACTCTCAAAGACACTCAGGACATCTTGGAGCTGGTACTGGTGAGGGCCACACTCCAAGTCACACTCTGGAGACACGGTATTGCTCTGCTTGTCCTTACACTGCCAGACCTAGCCTTAAATGACGGCCATTGGCACCAGGTGGAGGTGGCACTCCGCCTGGGAGCCCTGGAGCTGCGGCTCTGGCATGAGGGCTGCCTTGGCCAGTTCTGTGTGACCTCTGGTCCTGTAGCTACAGGTCCCACAACCATATTGGCCTCTGGGCCTCCTGGGCCCTACTCCATCCATCTGGGTGGCTGGTCCTTTGCAGGCTGCTTCCAGGATGTACGTGTGGAAGGGCACCTTCTGCTGCCCGAGGAGCTCAACGGAAATGTGCTCCTAGGTTGCAAGCGCAGGGAACTATGCCAGTCTCTGCCCTGCGCCAATGGAGGGACCTGTGTGGACTTGTGGACTCACTTTCGCTGCGACTGCCCAAGACCTTACCATGGGCCCACATGCACTGATGGTGAGGGTTAGCAGGTGGGGTGGTAGCATCAGTGCTGGCCCCTAACCTGCTGGCCTCACGCTAGTACTGTCTTTCCCTGCAGAGGTTCCTGCTGCCACCTTTGGCTTGGGCGGCACCATGAGTTCAGTCTCCTTCCTGCTCCACGAGCCGCAAGGCCCAAACCTCACTGTGTCATTTTTCCTCCGCACCCGAGAGCCTGCTGGTCTGCTTCTCCAGTTTGTCAATGATTCAGCGGCTAGCCTAACTGTGTCCCTGAGTGAGGGCCAGATCCGAACTGAGGTGCTGGGCCAGCCTGCTGTGATCCTCTCTGGGCGCTGGGATGATGGACTCCGCCACTTGGTGATGCTCCGTTTTGGTCCTGACCAGTTACAGGACCTGGGCAAACAGCTGTATGTGGGTGGAAGGCCCTCCCCTGATGACACCCAGCCCTGGGGTGGGCCCTTCCGAGGCTGTATCCAGGACATGCAACTCAATGGCTTCCACCTCCCGTTCTTCTCTTTGCCGATGGAGAACTTAAGTTGGCCCAGGGAACTGGATGTTGGTCAGGCCTCTAACCTCACCCAGGGCTGTGTCTCCGAAGACATGTGCAACGTGAGTGCCTTAGGACTGAGTGTCCTCATGTGCCAGGCACATTGGACAGACTGAGACTCAGAGAGCCACATGCCCTGCTCACGATCCACACTGCAGTGGAAGAGTAGGAATATACCCATGTCCAGTGGTCCCATGACCCCATTTGTACCAGTCTGAGATGACACCCTGGACTAGACAGAGGATGGGCCCCAGCCTTTCTGAGGTTTGTGGGAAAGAGGCAGGGAGGATTATGAGCAGAGCATCAGCTGGATACTCCAGTCTGAGCTCAGCTAGCCTGTTCACTGGCTGCACCCCTCAGACTAAGTGGTTTCCATCTGTGATGTAGGGGTGATGACAAGTTCCCCTCAACTTGTGGTGAGGTGGTCATGGGATGGGGTGCTGCTTTCCTGCTTGCTCATTGGTACCCTGACTCTTCCACAGCCCAATCCCTGTTTCAATGGTGGAACCTGCCTCGTCACCTGGAATGACTTCTCCTGTACCTGCTCTGACAACTTCACAGGGCCCACCTGTGCCCAGCAGCTGTGGTGCCCCAGCCAGCCTTGCTTCCCACCTGCCACCTGTGAGGAGGTTCCAGATGGCTTTGTATGTGAGTTTGGGTGCTGGATACTGAAGTTGATTAGATCCGTTAGGGTTTATGGGATGGGATCAGGAGTGCCAACAACCTCAGTGTGGTGGGTCACTGCATTCTGAGGGACAGGCAACTTCAAGGGAGTCCAGGAGAAGAACATTAGGAAGTGGGGTGGCATGTGTGAGTTTTTGAGGTTTGTTTTTTTTTTTTTTTTTTTGGTTTTTCGAGACAGGGTTTCTCTGTGGCTTTGGAGCCTGTCCTGGAACTAGCTCTGTAGACCAGGCTGGTCTCGAACTCACAGAGATCCACCTGCCTCTGCCTCCTGAGTGCTGGGATTAAAGGCGTGCGCCACCATCGCCCGGCCGTTTTTGAGGTTCTTAAGGACAGCAGAAACACAAGATTAGGAAGATGCTGTAGGAGATGGATTGAGAAGTTGGTAGGGACGTGAAGCCCAGCTCTGAGACCAAGGGGGCCATGTCATTCAGGTTAGCCTTGAACTCACTATGTAGCAAAGGGTGATCTTGAACTTGTGATTGTCTTGCCTCAACTTACCCAGTTCAGAGACTTCAGGTGTGGGCCCCCACACCCAGTTTGTGGGGTTCCCAGGAATGGAACCTAGGGCCTCCTATATGCCAGGCACTCGACCAGCTGCGCTGTATTGCCAGTCTTCCAGAGGGCTGTAAAGGGCAGAGGAGTGTGATTGGGTGTGCACCTGAATGCACCTTCAGGGAGGAGGTGAGCAGGCTGGACTTTTGAGGAGGACATATTGTTGTTGCTCCAGGCTTCCAGGGTAGCAGGTGTTGTGGTCCCCTAAGGATTGCTCTGGAACTGATTCTCTCCAGGTGGAGAATGCATAAGGGCTAGAAAAGGGAGGCTGCAGTTTTTGAGGTCAGGTGGCAGGTGCCTGCCCTGGTCAGCATTTGTGGTCAGTGGACTCTACCACTTGCACTCCTGAGGACAGGGTGGTGTGTGGAGAAGGCTGGCAGGTCATTTCCCAGTGACTCTAACTCTCTGCAGGTGTGGCTGAGACTACATTCCGCGAGGGCCCTCCTGCTGTGTTCAGCAGCCACAACGTGTCCTGGGCGCCAGCTCCAAGTGTACTCACCCTGGCCTTTCGCACTCGCGACCCCGAGGCTGTGCTGCTGCATGTTACCATGGGGGTCCACTCCGGTATCTGGCTGGCGGTGCGCAATGGCTCGCTGGCAGCGGATGTGGTGGGCTCAGTGTTGCCTGCGCCCGGGCCGCGCGTGGCCGACGGCGCCTGGCACCGCGTGCGTCTGGCCCGGGAGCTCCCACTAGCCACCGCCTCGCGCTGGCTGCTGTGGCTGGACGGTGTGGCGACGCCCCTGGCATTGCAGGGTCCGGGGGGCGACCTGGGCTTTCTGCAGGGCCCGGACGCCGTGCACGTGCTGCTGGCTGAAAACTTCACAGGCTGCCTTGGCCGCGTGGCTCTTGGCGGCCTTCCCTTACCCTTGGCGCCGCCACGGTCCGGCGTGATCCCCGGAGCCCGCGAGCACTTCGTGGCCTGGCCCGGGTCGCCGACCTTGCGCCTCGGCTGCCGCGGTGCGTCCGTGTGCACGCCCTCGCCCTGCCTGCACGGCGGTGTCTGCCACGACCTCTTCGATGTTTTTACCTGTGCCTGCGGCCAGGCCTGGGAGGGACCCCACTGCGAGGCCCGCGCCAACCCGTGTCGCTCCTCGCCCTGTGTCCGGGGCCAATGCCACGCGCGCCCCGACGGCCGCTTCGAGTGCCGCTGCCCTCCGGGCTTCGAGGGCCCGCGCTGCAGGTGCGAGTGGCAGGGGACCGCCATGGCCGTGAGCAGAGGGGTGGGGGGTGGGGTGAGTTCTCCTTAGACTCTTAATGGAAATGGGAAACCCACTTCCGTTTGATGCTCCTAAAGATAAAATACAGGCTAAATTTGAATTCAGAACAACATTGTGATTTAAGGAGAGTTAGAAGGTCAGAAATAACTAGGGGCAATGATTTTGGGGCTTTGACGCAAGCTGCCCTTAATGATGTTGACACACACACACACACACCCTGCCGTGCATCCCCAGGGCCAGAGCCTTTGCAATACTCACTTCCTCCTGGGTCCAGAGCTGTCCTTGCCCTGCCCTGCTCTTTATTTCAGCACTTATCAAAGATCTTAACACTTGTGGAGTGGGGGAAGCTTCAGAACCACAGCCCTGTGTTCCTCTGCTTCCGTGGGGGTGGGATGGGTGTGGAGGTTGGGTCTGTATTCCTGCTACCAGCACCCTACCTCCAACCAGCCTTGCACCTTCTCTGCAGGATGCCTGTTCTGCCTCACCCATGTAGCCTCAACTCCACCTGCAAGGAGGGCACCCCTTGTGAGAGCGGTCCCCTAGGCACCAACTGCAGTTGCCAGGAAGGTCTTGTTGACCTGAGGTGGGTTTGGGGACCAGAGCCCTGGGAGGTTGCCCCTGGATTGCCAGCCTGGGCAAGGGAAATGTATTTTCCTTGTCCCACCCCACACTGCCATCAGCGCCCAATGACCCATAAGTCTTTGGTTCTTCTGGAACTTCTAAGACCATCTCTTAAGCAGATGCCAGTAGGGCAGTATTTTTTTTGTATTTATTTGTTCATATCTATCTATCTATCTATCTATCTATCTATCTATCTATCTATCTAATCTATCTATCACCTGCCTATTATCTATCCATCCATCCATCTATCTATCTATCTATCTATCTATCTAATCTATCTAATCTATCTATGGTTTCTCTGTGTAGTCCTATCTTTCCCGGAACTCACTCTGTAGACCAGGTTGGCCTTTGACTTAAGAGATTCACCTGTTTCTGCCTCCCGAGTGCTGGGATTAAAGGTGTGTGCCACCACCACCCAGCCCACCTAGTTTCTTAAAGCCCTTTGGTCCTCAGTGGACATGGCCAAAATGCAACTTCTGGGCCTCCAAGAGGTGCAGATGGCATCCTCCCTGCCACATGCTCTTTCTCATTCTCATGGAATAGGAGCCCTTCTCAGTCATGGACACTGGACTGAAGGGAAGTGGCAGAGGTGGGTGGGGAGCAGCTGGGGGAATGGGAGGCAGCTGTGGGGGGAAGAGCCAGCTTTCTCAGCTTCTGTCTCTTCCAGGTGTCAGAGTCCTGACCTACCTTGTGAAGCCAACCCTTGCTTGAATGGGGGAACCTGCCGGGCAGCCAGTGGCATATTTGAGTGTACTTGCAATGCAGGATTCTCTGGCCAGTTCTGTGAGGTGGTGGTGAGTGGTACCCAGGGGTGGGCTGCCGGGCCTGTTTGGACAGGGAAGGTAATGACTGGGCGAGCTTTGCTGAGGTAGGGGAAGACACTCAGGCCCCTTCTAGGACCCTATGTAGAAAGTATTTTCACTTCGGGAGAACTTGGGGAGCCCACCAGCCATCAAGCAGAGTTTGGAGCTTCTCTGTGGTAACCAGGGTAGTGGCAGTGGGGACAGGTTGGGATCTTCCAAGTCTACTCTGTGACTGGCTTCCAAGCTCTCAAGGATCATGGAGCCTGTGATCTCCTTGGGTTCCAGAGCAGTTTCTGAAACAGATCAGGCTCAGGCACTCCAGGTATCCCTGCCCCAAGGAGGCTCAGCTGACAGATGTCTGGGCCCCCACAGTGGGTGCTGATATGGCTCTTCTAGAAGGGCAGTCTGGAGAGTGACCTTGATCCCTGTAGTTCCTGGCAGAGCCCCTCTGCTTCTGTGAAGTGTTACAGGCTTTGCTTCCTCGCCTGCCCACTGCATACCACCCCCCACCCAGGGAAGGAAATGTCTTTACAGCTCCCCCTAAAGTGCTGGGGAGGGGGAGGTGTGAACTTTATAGTTTTGGGGCCCCCTTCTCCAGGTCTGAATGCTGGGGATGGGGATGGGGATGCAAATGACAGACAGTAGACTGAGAAGCCTCAAGATGTAGGGGGAGAAAGACCAGGGAGTCTGGATTGCAGGGGCTCTGATTCCAGGGCTTAGGAGTCTAGGCACATGGAATCTTTAATGGATCAACATGGCAGTCTTTGACTGGAGATGGGGAAATGCTGCCCTCATCTCCAAACCAGGCTCAACTCTGCCAGGGACAGGCTATCAGAGCAACCCCTTGCAAGCAGGCAGGCCATAGGGAATTCTGTCTGTCCTTGTCATTAGTGGGTTCAGTTCATCCTAGGAGCTTTCTGCTCTTGCTTTACTTCAGCTGAGTGTTGTTGATTCTGTGACAAGGCACTCCTGGAATGTCTACTGTCTGCCCTCCTAGCCAGGGCTTTGCAGCATGCCCTTAGTATTGGCTTGGACAGGTAGCTTCCTGGCTTCCTGCCTGCACACCCTAGGGGCTGCCTCTCTCACCCACTCTGGGAAGCTTACTTCTCTGTCTCCCATCTCTTTCAGAAAAGCCTGCCTCTGCCCCTGCCATTCCCGCTGCTGGAGGTAGCAGTGCCTGCAGCCTGTGCCTGCCTCCTCCTCCTCCTCCTGGGCCTCCTTTCAGGGATCCTGGCTGCCAGAAAGCGCCGCCAGTCTGAGGGCACTTACAGCCCAAGTCAGCAGGAGGTGGCAGGAGCCCGTCTGGAGATGGACAGTGTCTTCAAGGTGCCACCAGAGGAAAGACTTATCTAGGCTGGCCTGGCTGCTGGTCTTACAGGATCACTGCAGAATCTCTACTTGGAGCCCAAGGAGACTATTTCCAGAGCCAGGACATCCACAGGACGTGCCCCCACGGTTGGCAACCCTTCCCCTGCTCATCGTGGATCAGAAGATGGGGAACAGCTCAGGGAAGCAGAGGAGGGTATGGGAGTATGAATGTCTCTGACCTGCTGGGCTGTACATAGGAGAGTATGACAGGTGTGTGTCTGTGTGTATTTTTCTGTCTGTCTGGGGGCAAGGAGGGGAGAGAGAGGGCAGGAGGAGAGGGGGGAAGGAGAAAGGGAGAGAGGGAGGAGAGGGAATATGAGAATATGTACGTGGGATACGTGAGTTTGTAGGTTGTAGTGGTTGTGGGAATGCCCCATGTGTCTACATGACTGTGGTGGGGCAAGGGGTTTCATAGGGGGAGTGGCTGCTTCATGGCTGGGGACGACTTGGATGCCTCTGAGACAGGAGAAGCCCAAGGCTGCATACACTCTTTAACACTGGCAGGCCAGAATTTGCCCAAGTAGACTTTGGTCTTGACATCTTATCCAACTTCCAATGACAGCCCTTGTCTCAGAGAAGCTGGGAAATGGGGGACTCCTGGCTTCCAGAACAAAAGCCCTTTTGGGTAGATCTGACTGAGTGCTGTGGACAATACCCCCATGTCTGTAGGGCAGGTTTGCAGGAACCAAGAAACCAAGGATCCTGGGCTGTTCTGCCTACGGTGGGCATCTGCAGGCATGGAGCAACCTCTCTGCCTACCTCACAGGGCTGTCCTGAGGATCCGAGGCACAAACAGGCAGAAAGTCCAGAAGGTGTTAAACTCCATCTGACGGAAAGTGTTTCACCTGCCTACAGTCGAGGGGGCTTCCTGGGACACTGGCAAGGAGGCCAGACGGCAGAAGAATGGACGTGCTGTTCTCTGTCCCTGGCCCTTGCAGTTCTGCAGCTCCATCCTCTGTGTATGGCTGTGGAAAGCATGCCAACAAAGGCCTCGGTTGTGTGCCCAGTGCTCGGCAGATGGACATCAGCAGCTACTGCACTGACCTTAGGCTGTGCAATTACATCTCATGGATACACACTCCAGTGCACTTGACCTCTGACCTCACCCCCCAAGGGCTGCAGGTCTAGTCTCCTTTGAACTTCCCAGAGCCCTCTGACTTAGAGATGTGTCCATTGTCATCCATGCTTATAGGCCAGTGCCTCCTGATGGGTTCCATGTGACTTTTACACAGGAAGCTGTGTGTCTCAAGGTTGCAGTCACCTCCAGAAGGCACAGACTTGGGAGCACTGGGGGCTTAGTGTTTTGAGACCCTGGATGCTTAGAGGCCTGCTTGGTCCTTACCCTGTAGACCAACTTGCCCCTAGCTGTCTCTGTCCCTTGAGAAAGGGGAGAGGAAATGGGTTCCTGGGCGAACTGTTCAGTTGCCAGCTCCCAAGATGTTTCCTATGGATCGCCAACAAGGGAACATTCACTTCACTTCAATGTCGCCAGTGTAGGCTACACAAGGACCCCTTGGGGGCTAGAGGCAGCTCTTGCTGAGATCTAGGGGAGGGGTGAAACTTATTCCTTCCCATCATCCTGCCCACCTGCCTATGCGCAGTTCACTCCCTGAGAGGGAAGAGGCAAGTGGCTTGGAGCCTCAAGTGGGCATGGGCTAGGAAAGATGCCCAAGTGTCTGCTAACACTTCCTTTCCTTGAAGGACTCAGGACCACAGCCTTCCCAAGATTTTCTTGAAGGCACAGTTCATCACTAGGTTCGCAAATGCTACCCAGTGAACAGATTAAATGAGTATGTGTACCAGCCCTCAGCGGACCATAGGTGTGTGCTGCGGCTGCCTGACACCTTGTCATCCCGCTGACCCACTGGGTTAGGACACTGCCTCATCTTGGGCGGGACCTGGAATTTGTTGAGATGGAAGTGTTACTGAGACCTGTTTAGGAACACAAATGCCAGGAGGGTCCCCATGACCCAGGAGAGACTCAGTTCCCTAGCAGCTGAGGACCCCCACCCCAGACAGAGCCCTGGGGACCCCCAATGACCCCACCTCCTTGTTCCCATGAGAAACCCTGGGGTGGGTAGGCTGATTACTCACACACAGGAAATGAGAAGTCAGGTCAAATGGATACAATTTCCTGTATGTCCCTGATGTCTTCTTAAATGGTCAGGCTGTGTTTTACCTTGATTTATTGAAAGGAATCAATTTTCAAGATTCATCAAAATCAATAAGGTACGAAGGAAAAGCAAGATCAAAGAAACAATAACAAAACATTTCATAACTTTGGTGACTTGGCCTCAGGAATTTCTGCGCTGGCGAGAAGCTGGAGACTGGGGAGGGCTGGCTTCCAGGCCCCCACCTGTCTCAGGCTTAGAGGCCACATTTATTTACTTCATGGGGAATCTGGGGGAGCCTGAGGCCCCAACTGGTCCTGACCTAGGAGCTCAAACAGCTGTGCCTCTCCCTTTGTCTGTGCAGGAGGCTTGTCCTTGGAGTTGGAATCTGGGTCACTGTTGCCCAGCTCTGCCTATAACGCTCCGAGTGGCAAGAAGCCGAGCCTGAACTATGACTGGCATGCCCAGAGGTGTGAGGGTGGCAGAGAGCTAACGCTCAGATTTGTGGGTTTCTCCTATAATGGGGAGTTGCTGGTGTTCCCAAACCCTCAAAGGGCTGGCTGGAGCTGGGTTTGGAGCTCGGGTGCCCAGACCCCCCCTGGCCCCCAGGAACAACTCAGGTTTGGTGGTTAGGAAAGAGTATATTGCTAGAGATGTTTGGAGATGCCCACCAAGCGGAAATGTCATCCCAGGAGTGGCCACTTTAGCCCCTCAAATACCTGTGTCCCCAAAGATGTGCTCACACGGGCATTACTGACATGTGCCCTGTGGGGCAGGGCCTGGTAAAGGGCCTGAGAGAGGGCTTGAGCTTCTTGCCTACTCTTGGGTAACTGGAAGGAAGGCGGTGGGATATGGTTGGCCCAGCTGACCTCTAGTGCAAACCCTACATAGGGTGCTGAGGTGGGGGGCAGGTGGCTCTTCTGGGATGGTACCATTTCCAGGGTCAGGCCTCAGAGATGGGCTGTGAAGGAGAGGGGGCAGCGAGAGTCCCTTTGCCCCAGTGGGACCTGGTCAGAAATGGGACACAGGGAGGCACGGTACTGGACGGTGGCATAGGCCTGCTCACTCAAAGGTCTCCCACTGCCTGCGGAGCTGCTCCACAGAGGTGGAGGCTGGGGCTGGGCTTGGGCTCACATCTTGCTTGGTTTTTCGTAGCAAATCCTCAAAGGGGTCTCTGGCCTGTGCAGAAGCAGGCTGCAGGGCTGGTTCTAGACCCTGGGGAGGTCTGGTAGACAGCAGTGGGGGCTCACCAGGCCTCAGGGCCAACCCCTGCTTGGCCTCAGCAGCTCTGGCACTTGAGCGGGCCAGAGGCAATGTTCGGATCCTGGAAGGGGCAACAGCTGGGGGGCCAAGTGGCTGTAGGGGACTAGTGTGGGCACCCATGGGGATCTGGCCAAAGAGATTGGGCATGGAGAGGGCAGATAGGTTGGGCTGAGACCTGTGAGGGCCATAAAAGCCAGAACCAGACAATAAGATGCTAGGTGTATATGCTGGCCCCAGGGACGCTGGAGGTGTCCCCAAATGCCTGGCTGGTATAGTAGAGCCCAGGGACACAGTGGGTGGAGCTACTGGCAGAGATGGGACAAAGGGATTGAGTGGTGGCTGTGCAAAAGGGGTAGGTGTCACTGTGGGAGGGAAGTTGAGCTGGGGGGTGAATGGGGCAGCCACACTAGGGGTGGCAGGATGTGGTGGGATGGTGCTACCTGACCAGGCTGTGTTAAGTGGGTCCAGAAGGGCAAGCAGGGCATCACTGCCTGTGCCTGTAGCTCCTGGGGCTGGGCTGAGTGGCTGCAGAAGTTCTATGGGGCCTTGGGGGACAGCACTGGGAAGCAGCCCTGGCAATAGGGCAGCTGGTCTTTGCTGGTCCATCTGGAGCTGCTCTGAAGAGGAGTCACCAAATGGGCCGCCGAAAGCCTGGAGCTTGGCTGGGCGGGCAGTGGGTGGTGGAGGCACGATGCCCAGCTCAGGGGTCTTTCTGCCTTGTGGCCGGGGAATGGTGATGCTGCCTGGAGTTTGGGTGGGAGCCTCTTCCTTGGTGCTGGGGTTCAGGATGCCCTCCTGCTTCTGGGGTCTCTGAGGCAGAGCTGAGGGCTTCTCAGGGGTGGTGGTGGAGGGCTTGCTGGGGATGGCCATGTCGTCCTGACCCAGACTCCAGAGCTTTGTATATGGATGAGTAAGCTTCAAGGCTGCGGCCACGCTAAGGCCCCGCTCACTTCTGCACAGGTCCAGCCTCTGGGGAAGGAGGGAGGAATGATGACCACAGGCCGGCCCAGGCAACAGTAGAAAGTCCACCCACCCCCAACCCTTCCTGCATGCTAGACATGTGGCTCCTGGGATGGGGAGGAGTTGCAGGGACCCAGGCCTATCTGGATTCCAAGTCCAAGCCTGACCCACAAGCGGAATCCAGAGGAAGCTCTGCTCTTTTGACAAAAGCCTATGCTTGTCAAACAGTTTTAGGAAAATATCTCCATCTGTAGGCCACCTAACAATGGTTTGGGCATTTTTGGTGTTTAGAGAGTGTGGTAATTTTGATGACCCTCAAAAGGGCAAGGGTGGCTCCAGGCCTGATTAAAGGTATATGGACCAGAGGAAAGGAGCCTGACTCCTGACTATTTGACCTAGGCACTTCTCTGGACCTGAGCTGCTTCATTCCCAGCAGGTGGGATAATTGGGATCCCAGAGGAGGGGACTGATAGTCACACTGGGAGAGCCCATCCACAATCCTTTTTGATCCAAGGAGCCCTGCAGCAGCACACACTCTGAGAGGACAGAGGCAGGCAGACACTCCCTGCTGTGCTAGCACCCTCCCCCATGACAGCTGGTAGCATGACATGCTGCTTGCAATGGGGCAGGGTTGGAGTAGGGGTGCTGGAGTGGTGTCTCCCTGATCTCTTCTACTCCACTGTGACTTGGAGGACCTACCTCATGAGCATGAGGCACCCATCGGCATACCTGGTAATCAAAGCTCCCTGGCTGTTCCCACAAATCTTTGGGGGCCCGGAGGTCCTCCAAGCTCTTGGCTTGGCCCAGTGGCTGCATTGCTGCCTCCATGTCTAAGCTGCTGAAGACATCGTCTAGAAGGTCAATGCTGGCAGCTCGGTCAGGTGGGGCAGGGATAGGCCCCCGGGGCTCTCGCACTAGCTGCTCTGGGCTCTCAGTTTCATCGCCTTCTGCGCTGTCGGATTCTTTCAATGTCCGGTATGGCTGTGGCCTGGGAGGAGACAAAGCCAGCTGGATTTTCCTTCAGAGCATCTATAGGAGCAGCAAACGGCCCTAGCCCTTGAGAATGCCCAGGCCCTAGATCAATGTCTGGCAGTTCTTTGGGGGCTGGTTTAGGTAGGTCTTCAGCATGCTTGGTGCTCTGGGCAGAATGCTGTTGATCTCACTTGCTCTGAGGAGACCCTAAAGTGCTCCAGAGCTCAAGGTCTTTGTATGGAACACATTCAAACCTGGCAGGACTGGAGGCGAGGTGGCATTGCAGGTGGGCATATGCATGTCTTTGTCCCATCTGCTTCCAACCTTAGCCTCAGAGACTCAGGTCCAGAGAGCATGCATGGCTGCTCAGAAGCCCTGGTTCCATCTCTTGCCGTAGGAACCTGGGTGAATCACCTGACCTTGTGAATCTTAGCCCTGTTGGTGTGGTTTCAGGAACAAGTACAGAGGGTACGCAGAGGCTGGTGACAACTACCTATGGCACGCATGGCTGTGTGTTCTGTGCATCCGCACATCACCTTTCTGGTGAGCTGGGTGTAACTCACAGCTGGTTCCTTTCGTTTTTTCATTGAGCCTCGGGCACCATGGATCTGTGAGGAGGCAGCACCTGCTCTGACCTCTAGTAGGGGCTGGCCAGTGCGGTGCCCTGCCTCTAGGGTCAGGCTGGCTGTGCACAGGGTGCTGGTGAAGTGGGTGGAGAGCTCCACCTGCTGGTCATAAGGAGGCTGACACCAAAGACCCACTGAAAGAAGGGAGGCAGCCAACAAACTGCAGTCTGTGACTACCATGCCACTTTACAGATGAGGAAATTGAAGCTCAGGGAAGTTTAGTAACTCACCCTGTGCTTCACAGCACCCAGCGAGGGGTGGGCTGGAAGCCAAGGCTGACAGTCTCCAGAGTCCTTGTCTCGCTCTGACCAAGGAACTAAGAGCCTTTGGAAGGGGTAAGGAGTCCTCCTTCCTAAACACAAGGACACAGCTGTTTATAACCCTTTGTGTTGTGAATTAGGATGGAATGGCTCCCCTTTAAACACACTGGTCGGAACCGGAACCGGCTCTAGGCCCAGGCTAAAGAAGGTGATTTTTAGCACTGCTGAAATAAGGAAAGGCGGGCTGCCGTGTCCTAGAGGTAGAGGCCTTACTGGTCCAGTACTGAGGAGCTGGGGTCCATTCCAGCACCATCAAAGAGGGAAGTGTTAGTCACCAGGGAACTTGAGCCTTTTCACTCAGATGAGTGTGTTCTTTCAGCAGCTCTCTTTGTTCTAACTAGTAAAAGAGACATCAGGGGACACATCAGATCTGTGATTGCACAGACATTACTGTGCAGAAAAGCCAATTCTTCAAACATTTAAAAGAAAAAAATGAATATACTGAAAAGGTATATGTACAGATCAGGTACCTGGGACCAAGGGGGACACTGTCATCATCTGGCATTAGGAAAGAACAGTGGTGGGGAGTGGGAGAAGGGGCTGGCAGCTTTGGACTCAGAAGGTTCAGGATGAAGCCACGGGGCACTTGAGGTTAGGGAACAGAGGTGGGAGGGACACCCAATGTGAAGGAGCCAGCCACTAGCACTCTGATAGGTTGTAGGCACATCCCTGAGGCTCTTGGGAAGAACATTTGTATGTAAGGTGAACCTTGTCTTCCTTTAAAAAAAATTGTTGTTTGTAATTTGTATGCAGCTTAGGTTATAACATAATTAAGATAAAATTAATCTTAAGAAACCCAGGTAGATCATAATGTAAACACACACACACACATACACACACACTTTTTTTTTCCCTGAGACAGAGTCTTGTATATAGCCTGTAACTTGCTATGCAGCCCAGGCTAGCCACAAAACTCACAGTCCATCTATATCTATCTTAGCCCCACACGTTCTGAGACTGCGGGTGTACGTCACCACACATGGCTGATATGCTGCTATTCCCACATTTCCTCCAACCCAAACTGGCCTTTTCCTTACATCTGCCTTCCTGTCTCTGTGGCTTTCTAAGGTACACTGAGAAATAGGAGATCTGTAGTCGTGCTCACTGTGGCTACCAGTTCCAATTAAACAAGTCATTTTCCCCTTGTAAGGAAAGGGGATTGATGCTTCTGCCTTACCTGTCACTTTTGTTGTTACAGCCTTGTGGGGCTGGCACAATAGGAGCCTGAGACCAGGACTGTAGATATGGCATACACCCTACAAGTTGGCACCTAGGAACTTTTCTCCCCAAGGTAACAAGCAGCCCCAGTCCCCCAAGCTCCCCCCGCACCCAAAGAGTCACCAGGCTGAACCCAAGGTGCTGGGAGGAGGAAGAGACCATTCAAAAGGAGCAGAGAAGAAAAAGCTTTCAGTGAAGCTGGTGCTCGGGGCCTCTTCCTGTCGGCATTCCTCATCAGAGGAGTCTTCAGAGAGAAAAACAGCATAGTGTCGGAAGGGCTTTACCAGGCTGGACAGAGAGAAGAGAAGAGGCAGTTAGGGCACCACGAGAGCACAGGGTGGGAAGAAGGCCCAGGGCGCCCACTGGGATGGCTCCAAGTGGAGAGGAAGCTGGGTTTGCCATGTGTGTCAAGGGCCTGAAACTCTCATCCAGGCACGTCTGACTTGATTACCCATTTCCAGAGATGCTCACTGCTCTCTGCCTGAAGTACTAAAACACTTTCAGCAAGTAGAGCAGGTACTGCCGGCTGGACGCGCCCTTCCCATCACACGTAATGCCAATGAAGAGAATTTGAAACCATGACATAGTTGTTGTTTTTACGATTGGCCTCCCCAAACCTGTAGGCTCCATCTCTATAGATTCCGTTAGCTGTAAATTGAAAATGTTTGGGTGGTGGCGCACACCTTTAACCCCAGCACTCGGGAGGCAGAGGCAGGCGGATCTCTGTGAGTTCCATGACAGCCAAGACTATGCACAGAAAAGCTCTGTCTTGAAGAAAAAAAAAAAAGAAAAAAAAAGAAAAAGAAAATGTGCATCTGTACTGAACATGTGCAGTCTGTTTCCACTGTTAGGTTATTCTCCTAATACAGCTCTCCAGCTCGTACAGAGCAGGAAAACTAGATTAGCTATAAAAAGTAACCTAGAGGTGGGTTGAAGTATATCGGTGGGTTTGTAGGGGTCTTTGCAAACACCACACCGTTTCAATGGGCATGAACACCCCAGTTTTAAGCATCAGTTTTCTGAGGATATTGCAGCCCCCTCATCTTCTTGTGGAAAATGGCACAAGAGAAAAACTGGAAAAGAAGTGCTCAGGTTCCAGTAATGGCAGGTGGGACTGTGGGTGGCCACACCTCCTGCCTCTTTTCCTCTCTCTAAAGCATGCATATCCTACTTTAATAACAGGGAAAGATTAAGGAAAAAGCAAGTTATGTGGAAGCCAGCCCTGGAAAGACCCACTTCTGATTAGCTGCCCACTCTCCCTCGCATGCTTCTTCAGAGAATCTCTTTCATCTGTGATGTGGAAATTAAATATTCATTGTTATAAAAAATATATCTCCCTTGCCAGCTACCTGTGCTCTAGCTCTATAAACAAACACACAGCCCAAGGAGTTCACACCTGGCTCCTAGCAATTATGTACGGACCATCAGTGCCCATGAGAGGCCACAGGTTCAGGAAAAGAGAGCCCAAACTGTGGCAGATTCAAATCCTGGCTCCACCATGACAGCTGAGGCCTCTAACCCTGCCCTGTCAGTGGCTGGGCTCATTGTGAAGAACCCTAAGAGGTGACAGTGAAGGTTTGGGGAGACGGAGGAGACAGGTATCAGGAGGGCACCTGCTCTGAGAAGCCTTCCTGCACTCCCTGTGCTGGAATTCCTTTCAGATTTTATTTGGAACGGGAAACACATTTGAAACAAGTTCACAAAGGCCTGAACAGGAGGTTGGGGGGAGGGCCCTGGGGTGGCCAGTGCTGTGATCTCCATCGCTAGAGCTCCCAGGGCCACCCACGGCTCTAGCACTTGCAGCTGTGCGCCCTCACTTTCTTCCTAGTTCCTGAGGCCAGCCATTAGTCTCATCTCCAAACTTCAGTGGAGGTTGTGGCTTCCTGGGGAAGCTACTAGCCCTGCATCATGCACCAGGAGGTGGCAGGGCAACAGGGTTCTGCTGGCCTCCACTCCCAGGCTGCCTGGGTACCAAGGACGAGACACCTCAGCTCTTCCACAACTGGAGAAGGATTGGCTGTGGAAACATGCTGGTGGCAGGACGCTTTGGATGAAGAAACATGTCTCACCTGACCTGACACAGACTAGGTTCCTGTTGCTTTCATAACCAATGAGGCTGAGTAGAAAGGACAGATTAATCCACTGCAAAAGGGGTGAGGAGAAATACTCAGACGCTGGGGTAACCCCTGCTATCTAGCACGGCGCCATTTCCAGCTGGCATCGGGCAGCAAGGCCAGCATTTTCACTCCACTCTGGGCAGCTTGAGGTGCATGGTGGGAATGGGTGGGTGCAGGATCAACCCCTGAGGTTTCTTCCCATCCACTACAGCACTTCAGCTGGAGAACTATCTCCGAGCAGACATTCTGTCACTTAGCTTTGTGTCTGTCTATCCCCAGCACACTTACTGCTATTCCATCTTGAAGACCTGGCCTAAATGTCATCCCTAGTATGTCTCTAAATTTCATCCCAAATGCTGTTACCAGGAGTTCCCAGCTCTTCCTGGCTGTGGGTCCTGGTGCATCACAGATCCCAGTTAATCTGTAATTCTGTTCCTGACTGAGGCCAGGGGTCTGACCATTGCTGCTATTCACCCACATTAGTAGTTGAAGGGATGAGAGCTAGCATGCTGGGGGTCCCCCAGCCCTTCTCTCGGAGCACCTAATACTTCACACAGATTGTTTCATCGCTTTAGAGCTCTGGTAGGCGTGCCCCTTCTTTGGATTCCCTACCTGCCCTCTGAGAGGCTTAGACATGGAGTATATAAGACCCAGGGCAGAAACCTTCAGATAGGGTTCAGGTTAAGACTACAGGCGTGGAGGGCCCTGGGGTGGGCAGGGCTATGACTGCTAAGCACAGCAACCTAACATGCAGAACCAGCACACAAACTCCATAGTCCATCCGTCTAGCCATCTCCCCATTTGTCTGAGCACCTGTCTACCCAACGGCCACTTCCTGCCTGTGCATAAGCAAACCTAGTGCTGGCCAGGCACTGGGGACTGCTGATGTAGGACAGAGAAGTGAGCAGGTAAGTACACCAGGAGTACCTCAGGGGATGTAGTTTAGGCTGCCCTGAGGGTCACAGCACTAACTGTGGACAGACACAAGAGAACACCTGGGTCACAGAAGAACTAAGTGCCTGGTGACCCTCAGATGTACTGTGAATGTCTTCTGACTGTCACAGAAAGCATGGGCCTCTTCCCTGGCACAGTTCACATGGTGACTGACCGCCACTAAGTCTGTCACATCCACAGAGAGCAAGAGCCTTTGTGCTGGGCAGGACTTTGGTGTCATTAAAGTCCTGCAAGGCAAGGATCTGACACCCAGAGTTCCCTCCATGCCATAAATGCAGCCAGCTCTGTGCCAGGCTAGGCTCAGGTGCTCATTGCACAGCACTGCTTCTTGAGGGACAGGGCACTGCACTGGAAGGTGCCATGGGATCTGGTCAGCCCCAGCTTTGTCACGTCTAGAAAACATGGATGGTGAAAACTCATCAAAGAACTCATACACTGTCCTGTACAGTTTCTCACTAACTCTTCATGACAAAGAAGTCAAAGCTCAGAGAGTGGAATCTCCTGGCTGGGGTCACACAGCAGCTGAAGCTGTATGAAGCTGGAACGGAAACCGGATTTGCCTGTCTGTCTCTAAACACTGTAGGGTTCTGCCACCTGTTTCCTGGAGCTGAAACAATGAAATAAGAGGTAGGGGTTCCCCTTCCACTTTAATGAAAGGTGAGGTTTCAAAACAAACTTATTTAAATTCAGCTGCTCATGCTCTCCTATGAAAGATACAGTCAGATATTTGTCAGGGATAAAGGATGAACTATTGAAAACGTCCAGGCTTAAATTTTTTATTAGCTAAAGGCAGAATATAAAAAAGTACCTCTTCCCTCATTAACCCAATTCAGCTACTATCCTGCAGTCTGACCCCCACCATTTGCCTGGATTTTATTACATACAAAGGGGCTGTCTGGGAAAAGACAGGCCTTGCTGAACTTGGCTATCCAGCAAAGACTGTGATGTCACGGCATGAGAGAAAGGCTCTGTCCATCATGGCTTGGACCTACCTGTAATCCCCCTGCTGCCCCTGCCTCGTCCACTACCCTGCAGCTGAGTGCCCATGTGGATGACTCCTGAGCCCTTTCTAATGTTTGGTTTCACGTGTCTCTGGTTAGTGCACGTGTATGACAGTGGTGACAGGCAAGGCTGTTCCTTTTTAAATACCATGTCAGAGACATGGCATCAGGAAGCAGTGTGTGCTCTGTGCTCTCCACTGCTCCAGGATCGCACTGACTTATTTTTTAATGAGGAATATCTACATCTTGAGTTTTTTTTTTTTTATGTGTCACATCGTATGGACAAATCAGCCGCATGTCACGCTGGCCCAGAATGAAGTGCTGACAAATGTAGATGTTCCAATTTAATTGACATTTAAATGCACTTGAGATGAAGTTGGGAGGAAATCAGCCAGGCCTTGGTCTCCCGAGGTAATGAAGGGACACCGTGATCATTTCAGAAGAATCCTTTCACTCCAGCACAAAGGGGCTTCACTTTGTAAATGACCTGGCGACTCTGGTCCCTTGCTGACACAGCCCTGGTGGGGTAACATGTTTAGAAAGGCACTGAGAAGACCAGTCTCTGCACTTTTTGCCTCCTTTCCCTTCCTTTCCAGACACCTTGGCAAAGTTACTTTATATTCTTGGACCCTGAGCTCTCTGCAATGGAGACCTTCCTGAAGGTCTGAGCAGAGAAGTGAAATGGTCAGTGGCCAAGGGATTTGCGTGGTGCCTAGCAAATACTGAATCCTCATGTGCTTTCACTGCCCCTTCACAGACTGATGCCAGGCACCTGCATCCTGACTCAGGGCTGAAGAGGTGGCTGCTACCTTCCATGTGAGTGCTTCTCTGTAGGCTGTGTATCAGCACACAGGTGTCATCCAGCCAGCTCTACTTAGAGTCCCCACATCTTTCCAACCCCAAGATCCAGGGCCAGTCTCCAACCACAGGCTTGACAGTGGCTGAAACAAGCAGAAGGGACTCTGAAAGCAAGGTGGGGTACCTCTGGGAGGTGACCTGGAGCTGCTCCCAAGAGTTTGAGTAAGGGCCGTTGTGCCAAGGGAGTTACTGAAGGCTGACACAGGAACTAGCTGCACAGTTATCTGCTGAAGAATAAGTCACTGCCATCCCCAACCACCATCAGAACAAGGGTTGTCTGCTGTCAGTGATGGCTCCTGCTGTTCCATTCCCTTGGAGACTGGCTCTACCAGGAGATAGTGGGGTTTGGGGATACCCT